TTAAATCATTAATTCGAAATGAAAATCTGTGGATGAAAGGAGATGGTTTAAATGGAAATATTTCAGTGTGGGAGAAACTATATAAAATTGCATGTACCGTTTTTCATTGTTTCATATCTTTGGAGTCGCGGAAATTGTTGGGAACCTTGGCATGTTAATTTCCACCGTTTTGTAATACATTGGTAGTATCCATTGTTAATGATGAGTCTAATTTCAGAATTTTCATTGCAGTTTGATATTATTCCGCTGATTTCAGCGAAGAGAATGGGAATGGAGTATCCTTGAATTAATTTTCACTCGAGATTCATGAGGGATTATTAAAGTCAAGAGAAAACACTGGATAATTGCCACTTTCGGAAATTATCAAAATTTAATATCATTTTATGCGACCTTTTTACCGCAATTAATTTGTAAAATCAGTTTTTTTTTTATTATTCATTCGGCCGTAATTAGAATGCTTATGGTAATTTTTTCGGTTGGAGAGAGTGAATGAAGTCAATGAATTCTCGTGGATAAAATAATCGATTTCGATGTCGAAATGTTTTCGTTCCTAGTAATCATTTTTCAGGCGGCATGTTCGAGCGATAAATCAATTAGGGATGTGTAGTTCCGTCGTGGAATAACGGTCATTTCCAACTACGGGTGAGTGATAATATTTATCAACTTCCTGCGAATTTAGACCGTTAATAATGCATCGAGAGAAATTTTATAATTGACATTTTTTTTACGCTTTTTACGATTTTTTAATTTGCTGTGAAAGTCATTTAAATGGTTTGGAGTGGTATCCGTTTAATTTATCCCACTGTCCGGTACGTTTTTCAATATTTTTTCAACTTGAAGAAATTTTACTATTGAAAACTGGAATTTTTATAGCCTATAATTGTCATATGGGGACGCATGCAAAAAATTATTCCATAAATAGAATCTATAACAATATATACATAATATGTATATATACTGTTGTTATGTATATATTTACTTTTTTTCCCGTTCATATTTATATATAGATACATATAAGTTCTTTTGAATGAAGAAAATTATTAACATTTTTTCAACAAAAATCTGACTAATGAAATTAATATAAATAATTAAATTAAATTACTCCGAAAAATAATTAATGTGTCCATGAAATTGTTTTCCAACGAATGGATTTTATTTCGTTCCCCCCCCCTCCCCCAGAAATTTCATTAAAAAAAAACAAATAGAAAAATTAGATAATTATGATAGCCAGAAAAATGATGCATAAGTCTGGAGGTACCCTACCGGTTTTCAACCTCATCATCGTGGTTGACAAAAAAAAAATTATCCGGTTCTCAAAAGCGTACGGCTGTTACCCATTTTTCACTTGCGCTTGTTTTTCGCTCTCTTGCTTCCTGTCGCATCGTGACACATCATCTCCGAGACAAGCGCATAGAGCAAATCCTTTCGTGCAAACACACTTACCCCTCTATTAAGCACTTTAAATATTGTCTTGGGCCTTATGGAAGGCTCTATGAATTATTTATTACAAGCGGTAGATTTTACCCTTGAGAAATACCTACCGTGAATTGACCTCGATTTTTCACGCTTTTTACCGAAGGTCTTGAAACTATATTCTTTTTCTTGTATCACTTTTTTCTGTCAGTTTTTTGTCATCTGACTCGGACTCGTCAAATCCAGGTGGGGGAAATTTATGGACGTGTCAACTCCATGACGAAGCGGCCAAAGTCAGACGAGTTCTTGGCTTGCATATTTTATTCATATGTTGGGGATTTTTTGTTCTTGTCTTTTTATTACTCCGTTTTGGGTGAATCGGCAGTAATTCCGACACGTGTTGATTTCTCGATTCGATATCTGTATTTTACGATCAAGTTCGAAGATAATCCGATGAAAAACGAACAATTCCACTATTGGATATCGATGGTAATTGGGAATTAATGGGTCTTGTTATTGCAACTGACACGAAATGAAACCCCGGAAGGAACAGATGACGGTGCGAGTTAAAGTGAAATGCGATAGACCCCAGTCGATGTGAAAGTGACAGAAAAGACCACACGGTTTAATAAAAAAAATGTGGAGAATAGGATAGATGTTAAAACCCATGCGGCATTCGTGCCCGCGCGACGGTAAAGAATGGGAGGTGCGGTGGACCAGTGTCAGTTGTCACGAAACCGGAAGTGTCGGAATAGTAGGAGGACAGAAATAGAACGGTGAATTGGAATGAAAATTGTAGCCGGAAATAATTCGCCTGATGAAAGTTGAGAAGCGATGATAGGGGATAAAAGTAAATAATTGTTTCAGAGTCTAAATATTAGATACTCCAATGAGTTGGCGGTATTTGATAGTCATCTTGACTAAACAATCTAAACATGTCACGACACGGTAGAGTTTCTGTGACATTCGTAGATAGAACAGTCGGATTAGATCCACTGCATGCGTGCGAATAACTGATTGATAGGTTCAGTAGCAAGTGCTGAGGTTAGCTATGAACATTTTTCGTTGCAGTTATTTTCATATGATTTCGACCATCGAAATCTATACCTCTTTTCATTTTGAGAGGAACTGATCAATTTCTTGAGGAGAACCATCTAAAAAAACGCAATTCTTCATAGTCAAATTCTGTGAAGAACCCGAAGAATTGGTTTTTTCTCGATTCATTCTTGTTTATGCGATTGGTTATGAGTTTATGAGTAAGATGCTTCAATGGTTAAATAGCATCACTTCCTTATCCCCAATTAAATATAATATTATCGAGCAACGTACAGCAAAGCTCGTGACTCGTAATGTCGGTTACGAGTTCACGCCATACACATCTAGTTTAATTCTACCTATGAGTTTTTAGTTTTATTGAGGTTGTAATTATTTTCGTATGTACCTACCAAGTACATAAGGAAGACGAAACGGTGCCTCCTTCACTCCGCTAATTGAACAAGTGCACCGTTAGACAGCTACAACGTAACTTACACAAACTAGTGCAACAATTTTTTGTTGCCAATGTACATACGCAATACGGTCCGCTGCACTTGTGTAAACTTCCGAGAAGTTGTTTTTTTTTTGCATCAATTAGAATTGTAAAGTTGGAGAGAATATTTTTAGTCGAAAGTCTTGCATGTAATATTTATTGTTGACAGTGAGGAGACTTTCAAACAGATTAACTGATTTTCGCATGTGAAATCTTCTTTAAATTTTCAATAAATTGCAGAGAGGCAATAATTACCTCCGTTTTCCCTAATTTCCATGATTTTCAATTGTTGAATACATCAGAAAATTAGTTTCATTGGATATTCGCGATATTAATCCACTTTTTTACAAAAGAATTTTGATAAATTCGTTTTGTTGTTGAAAAAATCAACTTCATAAATTCAAAATTGAAAGAATAATTCTTCAGCAGGATAAATACAAGGTAGAAAAAAGGTTTGCAGTACTAAAAATACCAGCTTGTGTTACATCAGAAGCCCAATAGCCTGAAATAATTCTTTTCAATAGCCACTCATCCGTAAATCGGAACCTCATTTTTCTCTTACCAAACAAGAATGAAATAATGGAACAAAGCCGGTACAATCGATCATTCTGAATGACACAACAAAAATAACATGAGTGTCCAGAAGCTCATTAGCACCTCGGAATTTTCGGAAACGCGTAATTGCGAAGGCTGCACACCAACAATGACCTTTGGTACACTCATAATAACCAAATTTTGAAGAATTAACTCGTACATATGCCCGAAAAATGCGCAACTGCCTCTGCCTGTCATTCATCAATACAAATTTTCGGGGCGGATCGGAATGATCGACGATCTTTTTAAGAATAGAGGACCCGTAAGAATAGAGCGCCGCCCTATAGGTAAAATCAATTCTTCCTTCTTTTCTCCTGACAGGGAAATATCATGTTTGTCGGAAAAATTATTGAAACCCAAGAAAGTCCGACTGGACGACTGCGACGGAGGACTAGTGTCATTTTTCTGATGACCAGACGGTCATTCGAACTCCATTAACTAGAGTAAATAGTTTTCTTTTGAGGGAACAGCTGGGACTAGATCGTTGAAATAGCAAAATTTAAATCCAAAAAATAGTAAGCATAAATTTTCGTGAAATAAACATTCGTGAAAAGTATTGCGTACTTTTTGGA